AATAGCAGTCAGATGGGATGAAATAAAAACCAATTTTATCAACCTACTTCCCTGCCATGTTTCGTCACATTCGATGCATTCTACTTCTGTCTATGCTCTAAAACTCTCAGTTTTGAGAGGTACGGGAGGAAAAGCCCTAGTAACCGACCACCTAGGTTGGTTGTTTAAAATTTACAAGTCAGCATTTACGTGGCTTGCCATTGTGTCGTTCAATCAAAACAAAGGGCAATATTTTTTTCCTGTTAGTACGGTTTTGTTCTTTTGTTCTTCGAGAATTTTCTTAATTAAAAGATCTCCGACAATATTACCACTGAATAACTCAGTAATACCGAACGGACAACATGGTGTTAAATGTTGAACTTCCACCTGATGACTTTTACCTTTTTCGTCTGGACAATAATCGACAAATCAATCATTATCGATCTCTATCCGGGATCGATATTAATCGAAGTCACAACTTTTTTTTCCTTTATCGATTTCTATCGCTTGATATCGAAATCTATATTCATCGATGATTGATATCGATTTCTAACGAATATTATCAATAGCTATCAATTATCGGTCTATCGATTACAATCAAAGCAGGTCAAGCGTGGTTCACGTATCTTTTGTCAAATTAAAATCGCCATTTCTGCATGCGTAATGAGCAGTGAATACCTAACGAGAACGTCTCTGTATTAGGTCAGATTGAAAATCTTTGAAAAGATTATATTTCTTAGAAGATATTTACATCAAATTCAGGGAAACTGTTCTGGTAGAAATTTCGTAACTGCCTCGCGTGTGAATTCACGGCTCATAAGGCATGCAAGAATGCAGAGATGAATCTGAAATTTACAACTAACAACGGATTCAACTTTTGAATAACAAATTCATGGGATCTTGGGAGGTACGCTTGACCTGGCTTGACTGTAACTGGATAAAATCGTTCGGTAAACTAAAATGGATCGGGGCTTTTGTCACACTGGCTAAACTAAGTTTGAATACCTGCAGGCCCTTAGTTAGCGTTTGACGTTTAATCAATATATCAGTACATTTTCGAGATCGCTGTGTCAAGCTCATCTCGGTGTATGTCAATTCAGAATACTTAGTTCGAGTTGTTGCCAGTGTCAAGCAAGTGCAGTTATGGCTCGGGTCCAGAATGCGTGCCGTACGAGATGCACGCGAGGTTAATTTTAGTTTAATGAGGTGATCATGTTTGAAACACCTGACAAGATGCATGTAATAAAAAAATATAGCAGAAATGACGCGACACTCTTTAACAGAATACCCACCATTCATCACGATAAGTAGGACTAAAAAGGCCGTACAGACCGCTTGTTCTTAAATCTCCAAGACACCAGAAGAGGTTGAAAACATGTGGACCAATCTCAGGCATTAATTTCTCTAATAAAATAAACAGGAAGATGTATATTATGCGTATTTCACATAACCAGCTGTTATCGTCGGGAAATTCATTGATTCCACGAAGGAGTCCACCACTGATTTAAAGTTGCTTTCAGTGTGCTTTAACTGTTCTTAAGAGAAGCCGTTCCTCTTTGGAAGTAAAGGTCATATTAGGTGAGTAAGTTCTTTTATCTAAGTTATTTCTCTCTCTCTCTTTCCGAAGAACGAATACAATTTACTCTCATCGGGCGTTAGTGTTATAAATATTATCGATGACGTTCTGGAGCTTTTTCAAGAAACTAAAGACGAGTAGAGTCTCTGAGAGGTGAGATTTTTAAAGAATTATGAGTAGTGCAGAAATATGCTTGTGTCACTAAGAAGACGTACAGTTCACCGTATTTTCCTAGTCAATAAAATTCAGATTTACAGGAAAACCCACAGAGTCAAGGTATATTTACGGATTAAGTCAGTTTATCTCTGAACCACTATAATTGACCTTTGTATATCAAACCACAGGCGGCCCAGACGTAGTGTGTGTCAATAGCAACGTGGGCAAAAGGGGATGAGTCGTCGAATCTCCCAGGAACTAATATAGTCCAGAAGTCAAAATATTATAAACAAAGGTTACACACCATATCTTAAACGTCTCCTGGTCTTTCCTGGCCGGTTAAAGTGGCTACCACTCAATAGTCTTTCTTAACCGTAAATCACGTTATGTACGAACGCGGGTTCATCGTGTGATCGAAACACGCGTTTTCAAAGGTTTCAGTAAAGGCCATTTTTTTTTTACAAGATCTTGCGCAACAGCCATGCCATGGGATAGTGTTAATGAACAATCAAATCCAGATGACACGAGGGAAATTTGGAAAAAGCTTCTCATGCAAATCATTGATAAACACGCGCCGGACTTGGGATTAGAACCAACAATAGCGATAGCTGCAATGTTCCTGCAGGAGCCCATGTATTCTCTTGGTTGTAGGCGTTGAGATGGTGGGAACGGCTTCAACATTTCAGGTCAAGATAGGTGTTTCGAGCTATTTTCAAGTCATTTTGAGCAGGTGTTCGGTTAGGTCGTTTTCTACCCACCTGAAATTTTTTAACGACGTCAAACGGTAAGGCAGTAGAGCCACCTATCATATACCGTGTACTTGACTTGTGATAATAAAATCGGAGTCGCCATGGAAACGTAACGACGCCATTACGCTTTTTCAGTGGTTTGATTCCATTGAAAACTGCGTACAAAAAAAGAGGAGCACTGCTCTGGGCGATCGCGGGTAAGAATAATTTTATTAACCTGCATTCAGCTACTTTTATTACAGTTTTTGCACGTAATTTGGTCCACGGCTACAAATTTTGCATTTTTCAAAAAAACCGTTCGATGAATTTTTTTTATAAATTTGACGATCCCGAAATCAATTGTCAAGAAATATACCCTGCAAGTTTCAAGAACATTGAAAACAGAAAAGGCTTTTAAATAGGGCCTCAAATATAACCAATTTTTCCGCCAGATTTTGTGTTTACAAGTAAGCGTCCTCGNTTTTTTTTACAAGATCTTGCGCAACAGCCATGCCATGGGATAGTGTTAATGAACAATCAAATCCAGATGACACGAGGGAAATTTGGAAAAAGCTTCTCATGCAAATCATTGATAAACACGCGCCGGACTTGGGATTAGAACCAACAATAGCGATAGCTGCAATGTTCCTGCAGGAGCCCATGTATTCTCTTGGTTGTAGGCGTTGAGATGGTGGGAACGGCTTCAACATTTCAGGTCAAGATAGGTGTTTCGAGCTATTTTCAAGTCATTTTGAGCAGGTGTTCGGTTAGGTCGTTTTCTACCCACCTGAAATTTTTTAACGACGTCAAACGGTAAGGCAGTAGAGCCACCTATCATATACCGTGTACTTGACTTGTGATAATAAAATCGGAGTCGCCATGGAAACGTAACGACGCCATTACGCTTTTTCAGTGGTTTGATTCCATTGAAAACTGCGTACAAAAAAAGAGGAGCACTGCTCTGGGCGATCGCGGGTAAGAATAATTTTATTAACCTGCATTCAGCTACTTTTATTACAGTTTTTGCACGTAATTTGGTCCACGGCTACAAATTTTGCATTTTTCAAAAAAACCGTTCGATGAATTTTTTTTATAAATTTGACGATCCCGAAATCAATTGTCAAGAAATATACCCTGCAAGTTTCAAGAACATTGAAAACAGAAAAGGCTTTTAAATAGGGCCTCAAATATAACCAATTTTTCCGCCAGATTTTGTGTTTACAAGTAAGCGTCCTCGTCAGTTCACTGGCATTGTTTTTAAATTTTTATATGCACTAAACATTAGCAAAAAGATACAACTTGCGTCAAAAAGGACCCTCGGTTAAATCTCCGGAATATGCTAATAACCGGGTAAAGAAATTAGTGATATATTATAACGTCACAGCAACTCTTTAAAGAGTTTCTGTTATGTTATAACCCGAGTAGGATAATTAAGTATTGCATCCTACACGATGAGCGGTGACGTTCACCGTCTCGGCTCTCACTGCTATCTGCGACACAAGTCAATTATTAGCATATTCCGGATATTTCTTTCGAAAGTAATAGAGAGTTATTTTTTATGCATGTATTTTACTTTATTTAGTCGAAAGTCTATAGTAAGTTTATCAACATTGTAATCGCCTAGCTTCTTGTTTCAATTTTTACACACAAGAGCACCGGCCAGGAAGCACCGGTTTTCCTGGGAGCGGCTCGGGTGGGAAGGGACCCTTTTTGTATGGTATGGGCAGTTCCCTGAATTCCCAGGAACTGATCTTATTATAACTTGATTTGTGTTTGCATGATACACCGTCATACCGGAAAATTAATTTTAACTTGAGGAATTCGGTTAAATCGGATACTGACTTTTTTTGAGTTGACAGTAGCGTCTGAAGTAAATTCCATGTCCCTCAACTTTCGTGCTCCCACTAAAAGAAAAAGTGAAGAAGGACTACCCGATCTCAGATTAAAAAAAAGTCAATTTCCGACCTGTTTTCTGGTTCCTTGCTTTCAGGTCTGAGATGTGGTCAGTGGCGTTCCATATCCTTTTGGTTTCCCTCGTATACATAGGACAGCATGTTTGGGCTCAAAGATGTAGTCAATTATCAGGACCCGCAGGAGCTACCGCTTGCTTGAAGTTTTCAAATTATGACCAGTACCAGTGGGCGACATGCCTTCCTGAAAGCTACCTCATAGAACGTCAACACCATTGCATATCTCCCACTGCAGATTACTGTTGGTCCCAATGCATGTTGGATGTCTACAATAGAGAATCTGGGCCAGTGGACATGGCCTGTTCCTGTGTGCCTGAATAAAAGCTCATATCCACTCTACCCTCAATCTGCACTAGCCCTGCAGGAAGCTATTGTAACTGGTACCGAGATTGCTTGGAAAGAAAGCTTCAGTGTGACGATACAAGCAACGCTTACGCCATACGATACGCTGAGAATTTTTGCAAGTTGTATGAACGGCGAAGAGAGCTGTTCAGTCCAGAGGGACAAAAATGGGTGGATGCTGCCCGTCGCTGTCTCTTGGTTAATTTAGTCCCAATATTACGACCGTGGATTGGATTGACCTGTTATCAAATGCGCTTGGGAGTATTTACTACTCACCGGCCGTGTTACCTAGATCCTGATCTAAGTGTGACAACTATTTGTGATTTAAATTGTAAGGATTATTTGAGGGTCTTCTGGACCATCAGAGAATCCTTCCCAAAGTTGGATACAGCTTGGGAGAGCATTAAAGGACTGTGGAATATAGATTCGAGTTGTCCTGCTAACAGCCAAATTCATCAGTGTTTTCAAGGAGAGGCTGGTAGAATGACGAGTTTCATTACAATTGCGGTCAAAAAATTCAAGCAAGTAGACCGTTTGTCCGTTTCTCTTCCTGAAGCTGATGCTGGAAGTCGATTCGCAGATAGAATCGGTTCATCGATTGCGCGAATATTGAAGTGGAACACGTTTGTAATGAGCTGGGTTGCTTACATCCAAGGCAGCTTTGGTAGCAGCGATGACGTAGACGTCATCATAGTCTTGACGGACAGTAAAACGCTCGGTATCGTCACAGCTTCAACTCCGTCAGTCAACTTCAATCACACCCTCGCCGATTTTGCTTCAGCTGTCGAGGAAGGAAAGCTTCCCTTGCAAGTAGATGGCTACAACGTCTGGGTCAAGTCATTGGCGTTATGCTCTGATAAATCATGTGCTCGGACTAAGACACTGGCAGTTTCAGAAAATCCTCCTAAATGGCCAGTTAGAAGTGATGTTACTAACCACATCGGATATGGGCCAGTTCAAAATGAAGGTGCCAGGGTTCCCTGTGGTGAAGTCAAGCTATTTGAAGTCATTGCTGTTCTGTTTATGTACCGATCAATTTTCTAGACGATCATGAATAGACCTCTCCTGTGTTTTGTCCTAGTTTCTATGAACTGGGTCATTTGATGTTCTCAAAGGAATTTTCCTTTTTTGTAACTGAGAAATCTTTACACTTAGTCGTTAACTGGAATGATTGCAGAGCTACAAAGCGTAAAAGAAAAATTGTGCCTCGGTAAGGTTCACTACTCCCAAAAGAAAAAGAGGCCAACGTACTGATTATCCTTGAAAGGCAACATTGTTTTCAATTGCACAGGCGATAACAGTCTCCAGGACTTTCATAGTCCGACCTGTTTATGGTATTACGGGTTGGTGCAAAGGGGAAGGAAATTTTCTTCTTGTGCCCTTTATTCAATGTATACTTAGATCTTCAAAGGGTTATAGCAACAATCAGTACTATAGGGGTCTGTAGCGCGAATTTCCGAGCTTCCAGAAGTATTTCAAGATGCTTGTGCTAATCGAAGCTTGTACAACCAACTAATAGTTTGCTAGCTGAAACACCGATCATAGGTTGCATTGCAAACAAATTACTGGAACCCTTTTTGCTTTTGAATGGATAAAACCTTAGTTTTTCATCTCGTATTTGTAATTCTTCAGATCCTTGGCCCGCAAACTTCGAATTTGGTACTTGGTTAACAGCATCAACGTCATCGTTTAGAACCGATACGGTAAGCTTACGGAAGGGTAAAATAGCAAAACTGACGACGAAAGGCGAAATAGCCTACAGGGCAAATATTAATCTTCTTTATCAGCATTGGTTTTAAAAGAACTATAATACAAGAACTTTTCCATGTAGAACTGTATTTTTATTGCGACCTAAAACTCTGTGCTATAGGAAACTGAGATCAATTACCTAAGAAAAGCGGGCCGTGGGGTGGTCTTAATTTACACTTAATTAATTTGCTGTGGGTTGTCCCTGACTTTTGTAGATTTAGTAAAAGTATTTTTTTTTTGGTCCCTCCAATTAAACGGCGACGTAAAACGTTTCCCTGTTTGTTTCTTTGCTTTGTTTTTCATAGATTAGCTTTATATCAATGCCGACAATCACTAAGAGAAAATGAGCTCGTTTTCTCTTGATTGATTTCAGTCTGTGTCATGCTTGGTGAGTCTCTCTTTTGACACGAAACTCCTGAATACAGCTAGCCTATTTCAGAAACCAAAATGGGCAAGTTTTGTTTTTCCTCGCGGTAGGTTTCGTCCCCACACTTATAAGACTGTATAGAAAGGAAATGATCTCGTTATTGTGTTAGACGTAAGACTGCTGGCTACTATACGTGATGAATAGCTCACACCAGTCTGGGCCGGAGCATAAGATTAAAGCCTGCGGTTTTCCATGACCAGTTAGTTACTCAGCGCCGCGTCTCGCCTTTCTCGCGTGAGTTGATTTTCACGTGCGCCCGCTTTTCGCTCGGACGCTCTACTATCCCTGAGGAAAAATGGGGACTACTCGTAGTCTAAAATGTGACTTATTGACATGAGTAGTGAACGTGATTCATAAATATCAAGCTTTTCGAAGCGATTTTATTTATTTATTTTTGCAAGTTTACTCTGCTATAAAAGACAACACGTGGTTATGATAAAATGCTTATTCCGCTACCCTCAGCGCTACTCTCCTAAGATATTTGCAGCCGCTTTGATCCCCCTTTTGCTGGTTTGGTAAGTTACGGATTCATCCATCTCTTATGGCATTTCAAGGGGACATTTACTTCAAGATAAGCCGAGCTGGAATCGAACTAAGAAGATTGATTATTGTTATTTCCCACTGAATTTCCATCACCGAAAGCTTCCTAACTGATTGAAGGGTTCAGTCTGAAGGAAGTGACGTCCGGTCAAATTTTTCAGCCCGAGAAAATTCATCCGGTGCAGTGTGAATTGAACGTAACCTCAGTCATAAATTTTGTTGTTTTATTCAGATTGCAAGCGTTGATAACGCGATTGTTATTGAGACGGAACTCCACAGAAGGAACTTCAATTAAACCTCTCTCATCTAATGTGTGGAGCACGAATCGTCAATCACTTTGCACTGGGCTGCCAGTGTTATCCTTAAAAATTGAGTAAAATTATGCAGCCACTAGACAGCTCACTTTCAACGGATTTCGCAAACGGCTCAAAAGACGGTGTTGAAGTCCAAAAAGGCCTATAGGACAAGACTTCTCAATTATTGAAAACCTAGCTAATCATATTTGCAGTCCGAAAAGAGGCTTGGTCACGTGACATCGCCCGAATAGAAGATGGCGAGGAGAGATGTAAGTATCTCTCATTGCACCGATTTTGTGTTTCTTTCCATCTCTACTTTTTTCTGAATTGGTCTTGTTTTTCACAAAGCCTAAATTGAATGCTTCTTTTCAGAGGAGACGTTGACGAAAATCGCGGGAATGAGCAAGGTACGATAGCGACGACTTGTTGTCAATAAGCGAATGACCTCTTCAAATGACACTTACATTATTTTCATTAACAAGAAGTCTTGTCACACCCATCTGCTTTTGCCGAGTCCTTCGCAGTCGTACAACAACCAACAAGCAATCACTCTCAGTGTAACTTTGAATTTAAGGCGAATTGTCAGTTCGATCCGATTAACGGCCCACCGAGATCCTTGTTTTGGGCGTCCAACGGACTAGATGACTTACTGCAAATACCTTAATTTTCGAATGGAATGCGAATCCATCAAACGATTGTGGAACATCGAAACACAATGCAGTAAGAACAGCGGTAGAAGCGGTCAGATTCAGGGATGCTTTGAGGAGGGCGCAAACGGAACGATGATCTTTACAAACGTTTCTGCCCAAAAGTTGGATAAGAAAGCTGGAGAACATTCGTCAGATACCTCCTCTGTTTTCCTTACAGACGCTGACGCCAGAAGTGAGTTTGCAGATGGTTTATGTTCCACCATTGCCAAGACATTAATATGGAACAAATTTGTCATGGATTAGGTTGCTTACAGCGGTGACAGTTTCAGTAGTGGCGACGATTTAGACGTCATTATCGTCTTGGCAGACTGTAAAGCACTTGGACTCCTCACCACCGTCAATCAACTTCAACTACACAATCTATGAGCTTGCTTCAGCCATAGAAAAAGGAAAGCTTCCCTTGCAAGTAGATGGGTCCAAGATATGGGTGAAATCATTGGCTTTGTGCTCTGATAAATCGTGTTCTCGAACCCAAACATTGGCACTTTCGGATAAATCGCCCTGGAATGGTGCTGCTAAATTCTCCACTGCAAACTTCCAGCTGTTTGGAGTTATAGCTATTCTGCTCGTGTACCAAGTGTTTATGTAGATGAGTTACGTTGTCGAGTGTGTTGATTAATAGGTTTATAGAGCTGTAGTATAACACTAAAAGAAGTTTTACCGGTAGTTACTCGCATTAAAAAGCCCGCTATACAAGAACAATGATCTAGTGAGTTGGAACATTGGTTAACATCCGTATTTGGACAAGACTGAGTGGCGAGTATTATAACAACGGTTAAAGGAAAGTTTCATGGAACAATCAGACTATCTGTAAACTAACCTATACTCCAGTACGGGTCTTTCCCTATATTACGGAGAACACATTCATGCCTCTAGGGAAGTCGCTTGAGGCGGTTGTTGCTTGTTGAGAATGATCTCTCAGATAATAAAGTTTTGCTGTTTTTAATGCCGACAGGCTGGTGGAAACGCCAGTATTGGAGTCAGCCGTATCAATATTAATCTAATTAATGCATTGCGTTGTAAGCCATGAATCGGCCGTTATATATGCTAAGCCAATTGTTTCTTACTACTGTTAAAATTAAAAAAAAGAAACAAAAAGCAAAAAACAAATCAAAACGGTCAAACTATAATGCTGCAACGAAACGCCATCTTAAATTGTTATGAGAATCGTAAGGCGAGTCTATCTCCCATGTGCACTAAAAAGTCTGACAACCTTTATAATCGTCGTTCATCTTGAAGTGACATGCTGTTTTTACTGATTCTATCAGTGATTAAGAGCAATCATTTTCCTCTCGTGCACTTATGCTTGGCTCTTTCTGGTATCTAACTTTACTTCTTTGTTGTTCAATTAGTTGTTTCCGCCATTTTATTCTTCGATTTTGAAACCAGACTTTCACCTGAGTTTCCGTCAAACCCAGCTCCTTGGAAAGATAGAACCGTTGCCCTCCGACCATATACTGCTGGCGTGTGAACTCTCGTTCCAGGCGCTCCAGCTGCTCCACGGTAAAGATGGTGCGCATGCGTTTAGGCTTTTCGATGGACCAATCTGTTTCGTCGCTGCGGGCGAGCAAAGTTCCTGCAACGATGGAAAAGGACCGAGTGAAATGATGTAATTTTTTGCCAATAGCACGAGAATAGAGACAGCTTGTCTTGAGTCATGAATTCAGTAATTTTGCACTCACTCGCTTTTCCCATTATATAATGCGTATTACTGAAGAAATGATTTAATCATTTAAGCTTGTGAAAGATTGAAAAATACTTTCAAACTTTATTGGATGTCACGAAAAAACTATAACTACAAGCATTATGCTTTAAACTTACAAGGGATGAATCATACATCCTGGCATCATTTCATTGTATTCATCAGTCACACAAACACCTTGGGACGTGAGAGGATCGACTTAATACCATGTTTCAGTAATAAGGGCACTTGTATAAGCGCGTGAGAACTAAAACAACGCGACAATTCAGTGCTGGGGAGGAGTTTAATCTAAAGGCAATTAATGCCTTTCCTATAAGCGCCTTTCTAATACAATAAAATTATCATGGTGCACCGCCTCTGAATTCTAATTCCAAATAGGAAAGAAAGATAGATTTGACTGTCAGGATCTATTTCGGTGAATCCCGCAAAAGTAAATTTGCGTGGCTTAGGATAAACTCTGGGATTCAATTCCTCTCGCATCTTTCTCTCCTAGCTAACTGTTCTCTGTCACCTGTCACCGCGTGAAAATAAAAACTTGGTTATTATCATAAAATCAAACCCAACTAACCAAATGTATTTTTTAGGATTTCACGCCAATTAGTCAACTCACCATTTGCATGGAAGTTTCCTCTTCCAAACAGGGGTACTTGAGCAAAGCTCGGCGGATGTCGGAAATGTGCAAGGTAGCCATGTAATAGTTCGGTAGCATCGTTAGGGAGCTGTCTAGTAGTACTACTGGGGACTCCGTTCATCTTCAAAGACGGACTTACCATGCATTGGTCAGTTTTTGGTCCGTCCTTTCTGCTTAACAAGGATTCAATAGAGAATGAAGGCTTTTGCGTGTTATCCACACACGAACTTGATTCTTGATGGGGGGACTTCAAGCAGTTTTCGCACAAACACTGTTCACAGTTCCAATAAATGGGCAAAAACTGAGTTGTGGCTACATTACGGTAAGGCTGCATCTCGGGAAAGAGAAAATTTGTTGACTGAGAGAACGATAGCTCGGTTCTTTTTCTTCCTTTGAGTGGTAAATAAACAACGAAAACTTCGGATGTTTTAATTTATAGTGCGCACCAATGCCCATCAATAAGAACTAATAACTAATAACCTATTTCTACCCCTTGTGACTTAACTAAATATGGAGCACTTTATTGGGAAATTATACAAATTACAATACAATTTGATGCAATTAATCAGTAGGCATGCTGATGTATCATTGGAATACTGCAAAGGAAAATACTTATTATACTAGTTATACTTTTTTAATTACGCCTANTAAATAAACAACGAAAACTTCGGATGTTTTAATTTATAGTGCGCACCAATGCCCATCAATAAGAACTAATAACTAATAACCTATTTCTACCCCTTGTGACTTAACTAAATATGGAGCACTTTATTGGGAAATTATACAAATTACAATACAATTTGATGCAATTAATCAGTAGGCATGCTGATGTATCATTGGAATACTGCAAAGGAAAATACTTATTATACTAGTTATACTTTTTTAATTACGCCTATCCGTTCCATCACAACATATAACTGTGAACGGGAAAGATAATAATTCAGAGCAAGTTACCTATTTCGATTTCAAACAATGGGCATGATTGAAAAAGCGCGGTAATCTGTTAAAAAACCCCGGTTATTTTGATACAATTTATAGAGGAATCCCAAGCCCACAGACTATCTTCATCTGAACCGGATGTTAAACCATACTACGGTTAAAATGTGTTAAAGGTTTTCTGATTATTGCAGTCATAAGTTATAACAAATTTGAAGCACTGTAATGGATTTGCAAGGTCAACTTAAGGTTAACAAGCGACGGAAGAAGGAAACCAACAGACTATATATAAAGAAGTTTTGATTAATTGTGAAGGTCTCATCGGCCTCTCTCCGGCCAACAAGGACTCCTTAATATCATTTTAAAGCAACGCTTTATAAGTTGTAGCCTTTATTTCTTCAAGAATAGCGAGAATTCGTTTAATTTGGAAAATCCTTTTTACAAACAACAAGAACTGGGAAATTTAAAATCATTTTAGAGAGTCTTGTTTTGCGGACTGTAGGAAGTAAATTAATCTGCAACGCGGGGTGCAATCTTTAATAACGGCTTCCCTATTTAATAAAGGAGGTAACAGTTTTCATTAGAACAAAAACAAGCTTGTTTATAGAAACGAAACAATGGCAACACCGAAAAATACTAACAGTTTTTTATCATAAAGAAAACCAGAGAAGTCCGACAGGCTGGCAACTTAAAAAGATCGTAGCTCAAATTCAATGGAAGAAAACTGATAAAACCTAATTTTCCGTTTATGAGTTAAAAAAAGAAAAATATGTAAAATTAACGAAAGTTGTAAAACAAAAAATAAAGAGCGTAAAAATGTAAAACTTATCACGACATGCGATCATTAAACAGCCTTAACCTGAACTAATTATAACAACAGCAAAAGATCAAATTTGACGATTCATCATGATATTAAAGAGTTCCTATTTTAATGAGTGCTGCCTCATGCTGACTTTATTCGTTAAATTTTTAATTAACGTGTGCTATAAATGTTTATCGACCAAGGCTAATGTGAGTTTAATTCAATGAAATATGAAAGAGAAACACTTGTTATGGCGGCAATGACTACTAACAAGGGAATTTCTCTTAAAATTGTTGGTGTTATCTTGATTAGCTTCAGTCCTTAAATTCACATCTCCGGCTAAGTGAAACATCATATTCTCTCGTCAATTGATGATACTCGGCAATCAATTCTGTTGATTAAATAAAATTTCAGTTTGCTCATTCCCAATAGCAACACATTTCGTTTCAATAGAGGACATGTTTCTGAGAACTTCTTTCATCGAAAGGACAGTATCCACTATTGTTAAGCTACGTGGAAACGGACGCAACAACTCCCAACATTGCTGGTCCGCCCGAAACAATGTTGGGGGTTGTTGCGTCTGTTTGCCCGTAGCTAAAAGGGAATATTGCCTAGAATTTTCTACTACTTGAGGACGGCTGAAAATGTCTTGATGACCGTTCCATTAAAGTACTACAATTTTCGAAGCTTATCTACTAGATTCCCTACGATTTTCTGAAGTTTAATTTACGCATTTTACCTCCCAAGTTAGGCTATTTTTCATAGAAAAAAGGAAACCTAAAATTTTCGGATTTAAAAATGACGTGGAGAGAGGAATTAGAAAATGTCTCACTTTCGCGATGCGTCAAATTTCTTCAAAAATTTTCGGGAAAATAATTCTCAAGCCCTTGTAATTTCGAAAAAGACTCAAGTTCCCAGAACAGATTTTACAGCGTCGCTTAGAATGCTTTTCTAGAGATCTAAAAGGACTTTGGATAACCAAAAAAGTGTTTTCAATGCGTTCAGGAGGAAACCGTCGTTGGGTGCCCCTGCTGATTTGTACGGTGGCCCACAGGGGACATGCTGCAAATAAAAAAGTTGCTGCAAATTGAATAAAGTTGCTGCAAATAAATTACAGTTGCTGCAAATTAAATAAAGTTTCTGCAAATAAAAAGTAGTGCTGCAAATAAAAAATAATTGCAGCAAATAAAATAAATTGTTGCTGTAAATAAATAAAAGCAGTTGCTGCAAAGTAAATGACAGGAATGGAAGTATGCGCATGCACTGATGAGAAGAGGAGGACTAATAGTTGTGTCCAAGGCCCACTCACGAAAAGCTTGGTCTAATCCTCAGTAACAGAAAACTTATTTGAGTTCAATGGAAACAATTATCTTCCAATCCATGGAGTTGCATTGGGCATAAAAACAGCAGTGTCCTTTGCAAATATCTACAAGGTGGAGACTGAAACAAACCTAATCCAACATAGTGATACCAATGGAAACGTTTCATTGATGACGTTTCCTTTCTTTGGGACTGTAACAGAAAAAATCCAAATTTTATTAAAGAAACTAACAAATCCCATCCAAAAAATTAAGCACACGGCCGAAATATGAAATAAAGAAATAACTTTCCCTGATACAATAGTTTTCAAAGGAGAACATCTCACAGAGAAATCCATCTTCATTGGACATCAAATCCCACTATAAGCCAACTAAAACCTTTCAATATACACACTTTACCTCGTTCCACCCCTCGGGGATAAAAGTTTCATTAAAGGCGATACAACGTATAACCCAGCGGTAAAAGATCCTAAAAAGACATTGATGGCAAACTGGAGTCTACAGTACAGGTCTAATAAAAATTCAGCCTCTGCAGTGCTAAAAAAACAGTTTAAGACCTCCGATCATGTCCTACAAAAGACATGCTTGAGTGCAAAAATGTAACTTAAAGGCAGCTAATAATTCAACACAACCACAAAAACCACATTGGGAGTCTGTGCAGGTCTGTCTTTTACTTCCTTACAACTATACTGAGTCCTCCTCTTCCCATCACTGCGTGCGCATACTTTCCTGTCCCTTAATTTGCAGCAACTATTTTTTTTATTTGCTGCAATTATTTTTTATTTGCAGCAACTTTAGTTAATTTGCAGCAACTTTATTTAATTTGCAGCAACTTTTTTATTTGCAGTATGTCCCCTGTGGGCCACCGTAGATTTGTGTTCGCGCACAGTGG